TGACATTAATCGATCACCATTGTATGCTGAAGAGAGCACTTCATCCGGCACGCATCCATATACGCATGTAAAGAAGTTGCTTTCCAACGGGCATTTCTACTTCTCTTCCGACTTTGATTTAACTAGAAATCTCCAAGCAAGGTAATTGAGCGTGCCTACCTACCATGTTTCCCGATTCTTATCTCAAATCGCTATCTGAATTCCACCACAGGGCAGGAGAGCCTCAGGTCGATAAATATCTATTTCAGGAGGGCTATTTGTGGAACAAATTTATGATTAACGAGTTGCTAAATTTCCGGTCGAAGCTTGATGAAAATGACAGAAGAGAAATGGATCTATGCTGTTTTCTTGTATGTATTTAGCAAGTGTTTAGACAGCTCAACACGATTATTATTATTTACAAAAATATGTTTGTTGCATAAGATTCTCGCCATCCAAGGCTACATTGGGCGAAAAGAAGTGTCAATAGGAGATGAAAATGTAGCCTTAGCTGTAATATCCCGAATAAACTGCGAACGTGCTGGTATGCCAATATAGGGAGGTTTTTAGTGTCTTTAATAAGAATTGAGATTAAACGATTATTTCTGCTAGGATCTCGGCTGGCTACTCGGGGAATTGATGATGACGGAAATGTTGCAAATTTTATTGAGGTGCGTCAAACAAAAACACCTGAATTCTCCATAATAACAACGAGTAATCTCACGCTTTCGGTATCTATCTATAGACGGAAACGATCTTGCATACGGAAAAGTGGACGTTATCGTATATTCAAATACGCGGGAGTGTTCCAGTATTCTGGGAACAACAAGTACGTGCTTTGTGTCGCCATAATATCTTCAATTACTTCATTGATTCTGTGTATTTGCTTTTAGGGACTTCAGGTGATGTTCCACAAAACAATCATATCCAGAGGTCCTGAAGCTACTCAACCGGCAACTCAACGACATTTCAACAAACTTACACGCTGCTATGACCAAGTGCATTGTATAAACCTCCTTTCCCAGAAAGAAGGTGAAGCCTTGCTTAGTAAGGAATACAGTAGTCGCGTAAAAGAGTTGGACCAAGCAGATGGTCAAGTATCATATACGCATTTTGACTTTTATGCGATGTGCAAAAATGGAAGTATTGAGAGCGCATCATTGCTCATAAGAGACATAAGGCATTATCTTGACGAATTTGAATATTTCGTATGGGATCAAGAAATATGTGCGCCGTCTTCGATACAGAATGGAGTGTTTAGGACCAATTGTCTCAGTTGGTAGGCTATAATTTACGTGTATGCCGATTATATTGTAATGAATCAGTACTGACAATATCTTTTTACTAGTTTGGACAGGTACATTGAACGTCACTTGTATTTTTCTGATTCTCAGAACTAACACGGGCCTTTCAAACACGTACAGAACAAATGTAATCCAAACTTTAATATCTCGCACAATAACACAAACATATTTGCGACAGAAACTCAATGCTAGCCAATTTGAAACGGAACTCTTACTTGGATATCATGGGGAGCTGTGGGTAGAGAATGGTGACAGCATATCCCAGATTTCTGCTGGAACGGGAGCATTGAAATCTGACATAACAAAGACTGGCAAACTTACTCTTGCTGGTACGTTACTAAAACTGAGAATCTCGCTAGGGTGTTCATCGGATGGCTTTTCCTAAAATAAATTTGTTGATTTCAGGCATTGTCAATGACGCAACCAAAAGCGCGACCCGATTTTACATTGGTAATTTCCATGATAAGTTTAAGCAGGAAGTTATTGACATGTTACTTGTAGGTATGAGTACATATTTTCAACGTGACGCGGAGATTGAACATAGCTATTTACTTTTAGAACCTTTTTATTCAATAGGGAAAGTCTGTCAATCAGAAATCAATCGTTATTCATGATCCCA